CTATCATGATTTTGTGCAATAGCCTAGGAAACAAATTGTTAAATGTAAATTTTTTTCCCAAAATCCAAGGAGTATGACTTTTAAGTCCCCAGTAAGTGATCTTTGCCATTAATTTCCAGACAGTACCCATACAGTGCAAGACGAGGAAGCGATGCAAGAGGGGGTAAAAGTGTTTCCTGAAACTTAACTTCTGCAGTGTGAAACTACAAAGAAGAAGCGCTCTGGAGGTAAAATAGAGGGGTGGATGGCCCATTTTTGATGAAAATAACTACTGACTGGTTATAGTGCCATCATGTTATTTCTGGTTCGCACAAATCTGGAAAATCCTGGAATTTAGATAAAATCCTGGAATATCCTGGAATTTGCTTGTGCTCCTTGAATAGTCCTTTAATCTTTAAAGTAGTCCTGGAGAAATCCTTGAAATTTGAAAATTATTATNACTTATATGACGATTTCTACTACATGTCGTGCACAATGAACGGGATGCAGCGACCCTAGAAACTCGCTGTACATTAAGCTGCCTGGCAACAGTACGCACTAGTGAAGAAGATCGCAACATGATGTCAGTTTAGAGCAGACTTTTTGCCTGCATTGACGATCCGTCTGCTGGGAATGGCGTCTAGCCTCGATATCAATGGAGGTCAAGGTTGTGTTGCAAAATATACACATATTAAACATGTAATAGCAATTTACCCTATAATATAAAAAGAAAACCACATATGATAGCTCGGTTTATTTTATTTTAATATTTTTTGTATTTATACCCACAGACTCTATTTATGTGTTGCCCTACAACTAAATGCATATTGCTTTGCTAGCTTCAAAACATATCTCGCATTATCTCGCATACTGCGTGATTAGCGTAACCATAGACTCAACTTTCTCCTGAGAAAGTGTGAAAGATAGGTTGAACATTTGCTCTTTCTACTGCATAAAGATCCCTCAGATATCGGCGCAAGTTTATTTTGATGTTACAGAGGTAACAATTAGAATGCCAGCAGGTGAGTTCTTTGTATGACGTAAATCATTAATAAAACCAGAGGGTTGGAAAAAATAGTAAAGCCACAGACACTGAACTCTCAGACAGTGACAGTGACACCCTGAAATACATGTAGTTGCATTAAAATGGAAGTAAATGCTGATTGCTGTAAATACTTAAATAGTTAAAGCGATTTTTTATCAGTTCATTGATACATACCAATGTAGGACAGCAGATGGCTTTGCAGAAAAAAGATTCTGTACACTGTAACAAGAAAGGAGACGTAGCCTGAAGCTGTTAAACTTACTAATTTATAATTTAATGGGGGCGTACTGGAGAAATTATTTACAGTCTGCAGTACACCCTTTCTAAATTTTACTAGTAGTTCTAACTGGTTGAAATACAGAAACGTGTAAATTAGAACAAAAAATTTAATTAATATCGCTTATTTTTTAAAACTCAGATAAGAAAAAAGAACGCAAAGGAGATGCCACGCCTGTTGTCTTGAAAGGTATCTACATATTTCCCAATGGAGACAAGTATGGTAGGTATAAGTTAGCATTAAACTATTTTTGTATTATAAGAGAGAGAGAGAGAGAGATATGGAGAATGTGTCTTTGTCTGTGAGAGAGAGAGAGAGAGAGAGAGAGAGTCTGTGTGTGTGTGTGTGTGTGTGTGTGTGTATGTGTGTGTGTGTGTGAGAGAGAGAGAGTTTGTGTGTGTGTGTGTGTATGTGTGTAAATGTGTGTGTGTGTATATGTGTGTGTGAGAGAGAGAGAAAGAGTTTGTGTGTGTGTGTGTGTGTGTATGTGTGTAAATGTGTGTGTATGTGTGTGTGAGAGAGAGAGAGGTAATATAGAGAGACATAGTTATGAAAAACTGTATATATAGCTCACCTGCTCAGTGAATATAAAACACCAGGGATAATTTTACTGTAATTAATACCATTTTGCAGGGTACAGGGATAAAAAAATATTGCTTGGTTTATCTCATTTTTGTTGTTTTGGGTAAAAGATCTGCCACAGCAGTTTGTTAATTATTTCATAACACAGGTTTGGTTTATTTCATTTTTCATATATTCATCCAATTATTTTCATTTATTTATTTATTTACTTAATTAAATTTTTTTAGATGGTGAATACACAAATAAAGAAGATGGCACTATCATACGCAATGGTCCAGGGTCCCACTTCACCAGTGAAGGTGTCGTGTATCATGGCGACTGGAAGGATGACAAAATGACAGGCAAGGGAAGACTGGAGCACCCCTCTGGTGCCATCTATGAGGGAGATTTTGTGAACAACCAGTTTCATGGTACAGGACGATATACGTGGCCCAATGGTTCCTTCTATGAGGGACCTTTTGTTGAGAACAGGTGTGAGATTGTATATTATCATATTTAATTCAAGTATTTTTTATTATTTATTTATTTATTTATTTATTTTTTATTTTTTTATTTTTGTAGATATAATACCAAAATATTTAGATACAGTCACAGTGGTGAGAAGCCTTGTTAAAATATTTTGATGACAAATCTGTGAAAAAACATGCATTTGCATATACTTTTAAATTTTAATTATTTGAAAAATGTATAATTTATCAACTGAAAAGTCCACATAACACGGGGTTATACCAAAATAAAAATGAGCTATAGATACACAATAAGATTTTTCTTGAAATTTTACAAATATTCTGTTAGATTTAAATGGATTTCAGATGTTTTTTCATTTCATTTTCAGACTTGAGGGAGAGGGAGAATTCACAGACACAGACAGTCAAGTATGGGCAGGCACATTTAGGTATAAAGCTGCTCCAAGTTTAAGGTTCAAGTTGAGGCTTTGACATTTTGCTAGCTGCGCCTTTGGGACATTCCATTAACTTTTATACAGTGTGTCAGGTTTTTCCTTCAGACACTGTGACAGCTGTGACCTTGACATTGTCAGCTGTGACCTTGACATTGTGTCAGATGTGACCTTGACATTATAACAGCTGTGGCTTTAAAGATATGTGTCAGCCGTGACCTTAGCATAAGATTTAGCTGTAAAATTGCACAAGCTGCTCACTTGGAAATACTGTCAAGCATACTTTTACAACATATGCTCAACAAGTCACCTCCCAAGTCCAGGATAAAATGAAAAAACTTCCAACAGTAAAACAAGCTGCAATAAATTGAGACTGCCATCTGTGAAAATTAATGCTGGCTTCACCAGCATTTTTAGTGAGGATTTGATATTGGCCCAGTTTTGACAAGAATTTGTGTGACAGCTTTAACAGATACTGTTCTTTGTAAATTAAATGAAACAATGACGTAACAGGATTTTTTTTATTCATTTGAACTTCTCATCATAATTGTTATGTACATTTTTACATGCAGATTATATGTATTTAAATAAAAACAAGGCAGCAAAGCTGTCAAATGTACAGACAAAAAACAGAAAATAAAAATGCAGAAAACAGGTCATTTTTTTACTTAGAAAATACCAGAATGAAAAAAATGAAAATTTCACAATAAAATGCATAGATTCAATAAAAATGATAATCCAATAGAGCTGTTTTTTCAAATTTGAGCTGTATGTCAATCCTAAGAATCATTCTTGTAATTAAAAAAAATAATAATAAGTAATACAGTTTTCTTTTCATAACTGTAAATGGAACTATATGTACCTACATGCATAGTGCAGTAGCACTAGCCCCATCATTCATACCTAAGCATCCCGTGTAGGGATATCGGTCATTAAAGAAGTTTGATAACAGATGGTTGTCTTGTTGTGTCTTCATAATTGTACATAGTGTCAGAAGCAGGATTATAAACCTGTTTGCAGGACAAGTCCAAGTAAAAAAAAGGGCAAAAGAAGATGGCAGAAGGTCTCAGAAAGCCAGTACTGCTGTCATTTGAAGGGAACCTTCAGCAAAATTGGAGAACTTTTATCTGAGAATATGACATCTACATCCATGCATGCTACAACAAGAAAACAAGTAAGGAGAAAGCTTACATGCTCTTAATTATATTTAACTCGTTTGGTCTGTCAGAAGAGGATCAGAAAAAAATTAGACACTGTCATTGAGAAATTTGATGCATATTTTCTTGCCCCAGTGCTCAGTTCTATATATACCTGTATATAGACGTGATCAGAAACCGTTCGTGAGAACATTGTATGATATGGCTGATCTGAGCAAAAAACTGCCATATTTTAAAGCTCGATTGTAAAAATATATGGAAAGAGTAATGTTGAAACTATTTCTGGACAGTGATTCCTCAGAGATGAACATTATATGGGGTTGGTCATATGAGCACATTTTTCAAAGTGCAAATGCACTGTTTTATTAGGGAGGTTTAGCAAACGACGAACAACGAAGACGAAGGACGAACATGTGCACTACGTCATCGCTTTACGCTCATCATAACCTCGTTTTTTCGTAGTTTGTTCTTCCAAGCTACGAAGATTTTAGGAAATCCTCGTCGAAAAAAGTAAGTACGAATTGAGGTCTTTCACACATTAATACACTTTTGATACGCGTTAAACTACTTTTACTGGTAAATGAACATATGTTTCTTTGTATGATTGCCTGCAGGTTGGTTTAACGTAAGTGAAAACGGATATAAAATCGTTACAAACTGAGCATGTTTCTCACCCTGCTCGCTGGGCGCCATTTTTCACTTAGTAATGCAGATGGCCACAAACTGTTTGGAATAACATGGTTCGCACAAATCTGGAAAATCCTGGAATTTAGATAAAATCCTGGAATATCCTGGAATTTGCTTGTGCTCCTTGAATAGTCCTTAAATCTTTAAAGTAGTCCTGGAGAAATCCTTGAAATTTGAAAATTATTACGTCTATTCGGTAGTTTTCTAGTTAGTCTACGTGAAAGACGCAGAGTAGTATTTCGTGTTATTGTGTTTGTTGAGCATCGAGCAATTCGGCTGTTTCCGCGAAGCAGTGATAGAGTCGTTTTAGCCAATCACTGTTGATTTAACATCGACTGTTCGGCATCGAACACGTGTGGCCCAGCGNCAGTGGTTTAACCAGAAAAAGCCCCAGTAACCAGGGAAAATACACAATTTTACGATGCGTGGCTGTTACATTCCCTGTCCTGCATTACAAACTTACTAAGTCTGTCGCCATATTAATATTCGGCGCCATCTTCACGTTTTGTATACCGTTTACTGTAAATAAATTGTTTTTGCAATAAACTGAATAAGTAAATGTCTGCACTGCATAAATAAGAGCTTTAACTCACCTTTGAACATATATAAGTGTCTTTTGTAACATTCTTAACGCTGAGTTGTGTGACGGCTGCATGCACGAATCCAGGTTAGACACTTCTCCAGCTGTGTTTTTGGCTTCGGAAAAGCAATGAAATACACCCCTTCCATTCGTTCCGGATAACGAGAATCAGATTTGCAACACCCATAACAACAGTGTTTTACTGGCATGACTTTGTCGGAGAAACGTATTCTTAAGTGACAAAAAATGCAAAAATCTTCAGCGTAATCTGATACACCGGACAGATGATTGTTTGTCCAGTAAGATGGCGGCTGTTTACACATGCGTATCACGTGACATTAATTATACGGTTCTATTGGCTAAAACAATGCTGTCAATCACTCATCTCGGAACGGTGAATTGAACTGTCCTTATGTTATGGGTTATGGTTTACTTGGAAACTTTTGATGATATCTTGAGTTTACAAGCAGAGAAATGTAGAAAAAAGTCTGGTAGAAGGGAGCGCCTGAGCTATTAAGTTTTAAATGACCTTCTGAAGATTAAGCTAGAGGGGCCAGACACTGACAAAAGCACCATCAGACAAGGCAGAAGTCTCTCAGTGTAACCAATGCAGAAATCCCAACCATGCCTATATGATACAATGTTCAGACTGCAAAGAGTGGTTACACTAAGCGTGTGCAAATTTTCCAAGCTACATGATAACCACCCTGACAACTTCAACAAGCAAATACACTAAGTCTTGCAGTCTGTGCATGGAAGGTGACACTTATGTGCTAAACATCCTTCAAGTGCTCAAACAGAACTAGGATGTGAAATGCATGTTCTTTTAAAGTTTTCCGGCTTGGGTCAGTGTACCATAAGCTATTTGTTATAAAAACTATACTATTATTAAGAAATAAACTTACTTTTTTGGTCTTGATTGATTTTGATTGAACTGAGTATGTTAAAAAAAAGAATTGGTGTAGCTAATGTTGTATATTTAGAGTATAGAATTTCTTTAGTAGTACTGGTAGTTATAAGCAGTATTGAAATTTGTTGAAATTCTTTGTGGATGACTGAGTGAGAGTTGGAAAGACACTGACACGTTTGACCAGACTGGTCACAAAACATCATCTTTACAAAAATAAGTGGTATAGATTTTTTTGTACAAATGGACAAGGGTTATGGCAGTGGAAGTCAAGTGCATCAAAGTTGTTATTCTACCAATCATTCTTGTAAAAGGTGACTGACATAATAATTATTATGCTTTTTTAAACTCACTCATTTTGTTCTACTGTTCAGGCCAAGAGACTACAGCTCAGTGGTACAACCAGTAGTTAATACTGGAAAAGCGACATTCAGATGATGACAACTGCAGTGAACTATATGAATAGATGGAGAAAAGGGTGTTTAACTTCCCAATGTTTACACCAGACCAAAAAATGGCTGTAAACCTAGAACATATGACAAAGCAGCGGGATATACAGAAAAAGAACCATAAGAGAGTCCTGCCTTTGCCACCTAAAGAAGAAAAGAAAAATACATTGGCTTACAATTAGCCTTATTTATCGACTTGTTCCCTCAATTAAAAATAGAAAAGCTTCATGCCATTTTGTTCATAGAAGTACATGTATGTTATGAATGAAATTTTGATGAAAAGTGTGCAAGGTCTACATCAGGTATTACATTAATAGGGAAAGATTTGGACTCAAATCTTAATTGCGACAGACATTAAATATTTCTGTGAGCTATGCAAAGAAAATTGCTTGTCAGATAAAAACCCCTTAAAAGACTCTCTTCTTACATGGACATTACAAGTAAGCTTGCCGTTTTTAGACAGTTTACTCTTTCAAACTAAACTAATCCCCCTGGTATGACATTCCTTTGGGAAAACAAACACAAATAAGCCAGAAAAAAACCAAGAAAGGGGACTTTGATATGTCTATACTTTTTACAACAGTTCCTACATGGATCTCCTGATTTGGCAGGATGAAGTACTTAAATTATTAGTAGACTTGGAATACTAACGGCTGAGATAAGTAAAGCTGTAAATGAACACATGCATGCTTTCTATTAATTTAAATTATGTGTCTAAAAAAACAATGTTTGGGCAACAAGAGAAGGGATCCTGTACAACACAGGAAGAAAGGTAATGTCTACATAACTGTTCATAGCTAAGCTGAATTGTGATTTTGGCTAAATTTTAAACCATCCCAAGGATTAGCTTATATTAAGAATGGAGTAAATGATTGTGGGACAGAAGCAAAGTAGGTCACATGTAAAATTTTATGTCAAGCCACCACATCTTGCCTCAGAACATCTAAAACGTATCAAATACTTCACAAAAGAATGTATCAATTTTACCACTCTTTGTCCATTAACCTGTGGATAACAGTTAAAATGTTTCATAGCTACCTACTGGCTAAAAACATCACTCTTGAGTCACTAAATACCATGGATCATTCTTGCACTTTGTAATGGAACTTAAAAAAGAGATCTAGCTATTAAAATGTGACATAAACCTTTAAATTGTTTTGTTGTGTAGACAAATTCCTTTGACTATTAATTAATGACAAAACTGGGCATCTGTACTATTTAAGTTCTACAAATGAGCTTCCAAATGCTGCATATATCACAGTGTCCAATAAGTTGATTGTGGCATGAAACTCATTTTCATAACTGCCAATTCCCTACATGTGCCCTCTGTAAAAATTTTACCTTGCTGCTCCTCTTCTATTCCCAACACTTTTCTGTCTGTATTGTATTAGGTAATAAAATCATTTAAAGTTCCACAAACACCTCTTAGAAGACCTTTTTCAACTAACACCACCACTTGAATGGCTGGTCTTGTAGTAAAGTTTATTCAGGTGAATAAGGTAGTTGATTTCTTGTTTCATAAACACATTGTTGCTTTGGTATATACATCTGTAGAAATCTTTTTCTGGAAAAAGGTTCAAAAATTCTATTAATAAGACATTTATGTGCATAACAAAAACAAGTTTCATATTCCGATCAAGCACAATTGATACGTGGTGTTATATTGTTTCTACATATTCAACATGAATCACTTAAATGAATTATGATATTAATGATCTTTACAGTATTACTGACGTACTTACCAAACAAACTCGGCAATGCTATAACCTCCCAAACATCCTTGCTCTGATGACTAATATCATTGGGATCACTCATGTTGTCCGACAAGATTTGCTGAATTGCCAATAAGTGTTGCATCAGGTTCTGTGAGTTCATTTCCTCCTGCTCTTGATAACCAGTACACAGGTAGTACCTCTGTGGAGCTACATCAGTACTGCTTGTGTAGTTTTTTATGGTCACCTAGCAAAAGAGAGAACATGTTAGTATTTAAAAACTGATTAATAATGTGTTCAATTACACTAATTTTATATGCAAACATGCACTGAGATACCAATTAAACAAATAAAGGTAGAAGTAATCAATACAATGAATTTATTTGCATACATCATCACTGTAATATCACCTCAAGCATTAAAGATCTGTCACAGCGTGACATGCCACTCACACGGCAACAAATCAAAACGAAATTTGACTGATGACCTACCTTTGAAAACAGTTTATGCAGTATATATAAGAGACCAACAGTGAACCTGAGCAGTGTAGTGTGGAGTTGGACTAGGGCGGTTCCACCAGGACGGATCTCCTAAATTACAAAGTGTATGCCTACATTTTCAGCAGTAATTTGCAAGCTGTATGTAACTTTAAAATCTTATATATTTTGTTTATCAACCAAAACTAATTTGAATGCATTGCAATAAAATATAATTAAAGTTATTTACCTTCATCATGCAAAAGACTTGATCAATAAAGAATTTCTTGATCTCTGTTTTATTTTCCTCTTTTGTGAAGTCTAAGAAATGAACTGGTAAAACATCCTGCTTCATAATTTCACCATGAACTGCCAGTCTTGTGGTCTTAAATAAAAAAAAACAGAAAAAAGAGCACATACAATTACGGAATTATTCAATAGTAACCAAACCACTTTAAGAAAAATATTTGTTTTCATGCAGTTATGTAATGTTATTCACTGTAAAAAAAAAAAAAAAAGGACCAGAAATACAGATGCAAATATGGGGAAAAATATGTTCAACGCTGCTCTTTCTTTACTAAGCTACACAGAATTAAATGATTACACACACCTGATTATGTGAAGGATTGGTTGTTTCATTCTCCAACCATTTTCTGTGACAGCAATGCTCACTGAAAGACCCAGTATCAATCAGAGCTATACACTTGTTCTGGAATGTATCACTCAGCAGGCTTGTCACTCCACTCCAGTCTTCATTCCGCAAGGTGAGCACTTGGTGACAGTCCGTCTAATACAAATTACATTCATCCTTGACATTGATAAACACAATATTACAAGCAAAGTAATATATTCAGATGACAAAATTCTTACTCAGTACAATACTTTAATGTAATGTAACATATATTATTCATTTACTTGAAATTTAAGTCTGAGAGGTTAGTGAGATTTCAAAATAAAAATATGATTCAAATTACTTCACACCTGCTGTAGAGTTGCTAATTCTTCTAACAATTTGATGTCACAAAATTTTGAACTTCTTATCTTGTCTACTTGTCTGCCAAATGTAGTAATTAGTTTCATCTCTGGGTCTCCCGATGAACTCTACAAGAAAATAAAAATATTGCAAATACAGTTATGATTTCAGTGTAATGCAATGCAAGCTATTGTTATGAAAAAATACATTTTCAATTCTAATGAACGTAAAGAAGTTACAAAAGATGCTAGTGATTTGCCTCACCTCCAACCACATGTCATCTACATGTTCAAGATCGTGTTCTTTCCAAGCCAAAACTCTCTCTTTCCATTGCAACTTCTGCTGCCATTGTCTGTGAGCATAAGATCCTTCTAAGTGCCGCTGTCCTGGGTGACAGCTAGCAAAATGAGCCATCTTGTGAGGCTACAAAAAATACATTTAAAATGTACTGACTCATGATATCTATAATGGCAATGTGTGTGTGTGTGTATATATATATATATATATATAGGAATATTTTGATAGACTTTCAAAGGTGATCACCCACTGCTGTTACAGAGTATCGTGGACGTGCAGATACATATATTCATCCCCTTATATATATATATATATATATATATATATATATATATATATTCTTATATACTAATTTCTGAAAACAGTACATCTTTTAATTACCCTTTCCCTTGAACCAATGAATGATAAAATCTACATCTTAAAACACCAGTTAACACTACTGTCTGACATTTTCTTACTCTTTTCTTTGGTACCACTATTTTCTCTTCCTCTCTAATGGCCTGTAAATGACATTTCTCTATAAACATAGTCACAGCTACATTTTGCTGCTCGTTCAATATCTCTTTTTCTTCAGGGGATGCTGTTAAGAGTTTAATATTTCTATGTATAGTGTCTGTCTGCCACTTCTTGAACATTTCACAGCCTTTGATGTGCTGGTCTATGAATGTTTGGGGTATGGAGCTTGGTGGAAAAACAGGATTACTTGTTTTACATTTTATGTGTCCTGAAAAACAAACAAATGTATTTTTGTGTGTTACTTTAAACCCCATTCACTGGTGCTAGAGCAGAAAACAAAACTGAATGCTTCATTAATTTTTTGTGAAATGAATCACAGACAATAAGTATCATAAATTCAATATGACATTATTTAATTGCTGATAATTTTTCTCCTTTCAAGAGCACAGACACAGAATACTCTACCCACATATTTACCATGAACTGTTTCTCTTCCATAAAACCCTACACAAACAACATAGACCTCTGAGTTACCAGGTTTGCTGGTGGCTGGCTTATAAAGGTGAACCTAAAATAAATTAAACTAAGAAATGCAGTATACTTTCTCTACTTCTTGGAAAAGATATTAGAAAATGTTAGGAGAGAACACCTTTACTCCATGCATGAGGGCAATCTTTAAAACTTTTAGTTGTTTGGTGAGATAAATACATGCATGCAGCTGAAAATATTATTTTAAGAAAATAAATTCAACTCACCTCTTCAAAACTACAATTTAGGAGATACATCAAGCAAATAGTGTTGCTTTCAAACATAGTAAACATTTTCTGTATGAAATGTCCACCTTTCCCTAGAGCAGACAAAGCCAGCAGACATTCACACATTTTGAGATGTGCCACTACTTGTTCCTGCTCACCAGGGTTGTCTTGACAGTCAATACTGCCATCTGCTGTCACCTGGAAAGAGAAGACACTATAAAGTAAACATAAATAAATAAATTAAGGATAATTCATGGGATTTTGGTGCTAAAAAATCATCTGGTACTTTTAATTTGACAGTCATTCTGTTTCAAAGTTTTAAACTCAAACTACCTTGTAAATATATTTTATTACAGTTCAATTTGTATTCACTTGACTTAAACTAGAGGGAACAAGTACAGAAATCAATTACAACTATTCTTCCTCACAGAAAAAAATTGGAAAATTGAACCTTTGATAGCCAAGCACAATAAAATCTAACATTTTGAATAAATGTAAACTTTTCTAACACTATCTTACTAAATTTTAAATAAATATCAGTGGAATAAATCAAGAATAACAATTCAATACATACCAATTTCACAGTGTTTTTGTTATATTCTCCCCTCAAGAAAACATGGTTTTCCAAGTCCATTATGTCACCTGTTCCATTTTTGCCAAAGTTCCAGTGTTCCAGTGTATGGTACAACAGTCTATAATGGAAAAGTTGTCCAAATAATTTACATGCATCATAGCTGGCCCACATGTCCAACTATCAAGCTTTATTCCATGGGCCTTGATAACATCTATTTTGAGTTATTCGATAAAAGTAGTGTTGGAGAAGCTATCAAAACTCACATAAGCACATACAACTCAGTGGACCACCAAGCTACATTCCACACAGTATGGTCTATATGTAGGATTATAAAATTTATTATCATTTGGTTCCACTGCATATTATGAGTTTTCCTAATTAAGAGCAGTCTTGAAAAGTGAAAGTGGTCATGCAGCCGATTGTAATTAGGGTCATTCATTACGTGAAATGTTTCTAGCTATCAATGAACTGAGAACTATGCACTATGCATAAAAACTTTTGGTAAAACTATCTTAAAATTTGCATATTTAATAACCTGAGTTTTCTTAAGCAAACAAAGATCGATAAAATGTTCTAATATTCTTAATGCTTTATTTAAATTTAGCCACTTCTCATATGACCTCACCTGTCATCACCAATCATACTGGACACTGCACTGCCTTCATAATAGGGGTTCAGTGTGTTAGCCTCCCACTCCCAACATGTGGTAGCTTCTGTCACAAAGAAGCAAATAAAAGTGAATGAGACATTTTAGTCAAAACTGAAATCTGTCTATTGATTTCTGATTGAAAACTAAATACATCCAATGCGATGTTATCAGTTTAATTCCCTACTTCTATATAAAATAAGGGTATTCATATACCAGTAGCATCATGTTGCATCATCTGCTTCATCTACAATGACTTTTTTCCTATGGGCACTCACAAATTCAATGTATTAACTTAGTTGTATTAAACGTTAATTATTTTAATATTTTAATCATTGAATTTTTCTTTTATTTTTTAGATAAAAAATGTCACAATTTGTTTGCTTTTATCACTCCTAAGTTTAAAGTGCAGGATCAATCCAACTTATAGCTGCAAGCATAAATATTGTTATAATAAGCTTTACAAATAATTTATATGAAGATAAAATCAAAATTTTGCGGAAGAAAGTAAATTTTTGAGGCAAAAGAAAACAAATCTGAAAAATTAACTTTTTTTTAAGTTGAAATAACCTTTGTAGTTGGTGACAAAAATACAAACACAATTAAGAAGGTGTATAAAATGAAAAAAACATGTAAATCAAAGAAATTAAAGAGAAGTTACATACATGCAAAGTATATATTGGTACTTACTTTTTGATTTCAAATAATGATTTAAACTACAAACGAAAGCCCCAGGTGCTTCACACAAATGCAGTGTTCTGAATGTGTCATCTTCATCAGGAATAAGATGAAAATGAGACAAAATTTCATAAAATTTACACCATGCCTGTGTGCATAGTTCTGGGCTAAACATCTCTTTTATACTGCTGACAACCTTTCCTGCTGGATTTGCCTGCTGGGTATGTCTGTGCCATGTCCCTATGTCTTTATCACTGAGAAGGCTTTTAGTGTCATTCAGCTCTTTTTTTAAGTTCATAAAAGTCTCCCATGTCTTCAAAGTTAAAGTTTTATCAGAACCACAATTGTCTGGTAGGACCCAGGGTGCATCATGTGGTTTTTCGTATGAGAATTTTTTGCAGAAAATTTCTTTTAATATTTCACGATGGGCTGCAATATTTTCTTCATCTGCTTTTTCCTTAGTCAGGTAATCACAATACGTAACCTGGCATCCCATACCACTAGAATATCTTTTCCTTTTTTTCTTACGCCCCATTCCAGTATTCTACAAACAAAACATAACATTGTTACATTACAATGCAATACAATAAATTTTATTTCATGTCGGGTATAAATTGAAAGGAAACATTAGCTTTGCAGCTATTCACCGACCGGGTTGGGACAAACATTTCTACAAACTAGAGGATCAGAGAGGCGATACCGCCTCCGAATATTGTACCACCAGCTGGAGCAAGCGCATTTGTATAGACCCCCACATACACAAAATAAGAGACACAGCCACCAGTCTTATGCTTGACAAGCTATAAAAATGCAATCAACAAGAATTTTCAAAATACGCAAAAAATATATATAACTTAAAATGGTACAATCAAAATTAAGTTCATCGTAAGGTAGGTCAAAGGTCAATTTCAAGGTCACAGTAAATTGCCAGTATATGACTTCCTATTCAACTTCAATAGTAACTATGGACCTATCTCTGCCAGGTTTGGAGTTAAAAGAGAAAGAAATTAGCAGAGTTCAGTTCATGATTATAAGTAGGTCAAAGGTCAATTTCAAGGTCACACTTAGATTGCCAGTATATGACTTCCTATTCAAGTTCAATAGTAACTATGGACCTATCTCTGCCAGTTTTGGAAATAAAAGGGAACCAAAATTTGCAAAGTTCAATTCATGATAAAAAGTAGGTCAAAGGTCAATTTCAAGGTCACATTTAGATTGCCAGTATATGACTTCCTATTCAAGTTCAAAAGTAACTATGGACCTATCTCTGCCAGTTTTGGAGATAAAAGGGAACCAAAATTTGCAAAGTTCAACTCATGGTGAAAAGTAGGTCAAAGGTCAATTTCAAAGTCACATTTAGATTGCCAGTATATGACTT